TAAGTAGGACTTAACTCATGGTCTTCCAGCTCCATGCCCAGTGCCTTTTCTCTCCTGCCAGGGTTTTGGTGAGGATCAAAAGAGACAGGGGCTGTGTAAGGGCTTTGCAAGTAGCAAAGCAGAGCCCACAGACTCTGGAGTTGTTACCAAACAGTAGCTCAGCCACCCAACTCAGTCAGTGTAGCCTCCAGCCTGCCCGACCTGCAAGGTGGACATGTTGCCACGCCAGCCTGGCACGGCCTCCCCTGGGGAACAGCCCGCCCCCTCCCACTCATAGCCTGGCCCTCTACGGCCCAAGCTTGGAACAGCTATGACTGAAGGGCAAGCCCACGTGTCCAAGCTTCAGACCCTGGGGCCCGAGCCAGTGCCCCCCTCCCCTCAGGAGACACAAAGCAGAAGTGAAGGGACTAGGACTCCACGAAGGCCTCTGTCTCTTTCCTGGAAGCTCCCAAAGGCCTCGCTCCAGGGGGACCCTTTGGCAGAGCTCTCCTTCTCCTGAGCCAGCACGGGTGGGAGAAGGGGTCAGCTGGATGTGCTGGCCTCCGGCGTCCTTCACACCACCCGATCCGTGGCCCTGGGCCAGTGACTGCCCTGTCCTGAGATCCACAGTCTCCATCACGGACGGTGGGGGTGAGAGTTATCCTTGGCTGCTGCTGTACGGTTTTGTTGGGGCTGCACTGGGGCCCTTAACCCAGCTATGTATTTATTTGTATGATCAGCTACTTGGTGTCAGCTCTCTGGGTGCAGGGACAATGCCAGGAGTTACCAGGACCCAGCACTGTGTTGGTTTTTCCAGGAGGAGCTCGGTAAATGTTGAATGCACGAGTGACAGCACTTTGTAGACTATAAAGCAGGGGGTGACGGGAACGTTGGGCTGTGATAATTGTACAATAACTGCTGTCTACACAGCAGAGGAAGCAGCACAGCATGAGTCTAGCCAGTGAGTGACTGGCTGGGTGGGGTGCAATCTGAGCAGCCTCCTCCCCGCCTCCTCCCACCCCACCTCTACCCGCAGGACTTGGCAAGGCTGAAATAATAAAAACAACAGCTGTTTCACCCATGCTACTTCACTTACTCTGCAGAACATAATCGCGTGGCACTATCATTATTCCCATTGTAGAGATTTGGACACCAAGGGTCAGGGAGTTCAAGGAATTTACCCACAGTAAATAAGTGGTGGGGCTGGGATTCAAACCCAGGTCTGTCCGAGGTCACGATCCATCAGAGAGTTAGCAAGGACACTCTCCTGCTCTTCTCCTCACCTTTAAACTTTAAAATCTCCCCCATATCCACCTCGGCTTCTCCAGACTCCCTGCTCCTTCCTCAGGCACTTTGAGGAGGTCCTCTCAGAGCCTCAATGTAGCCATCTGTAAAGTAGACACACTAATTCCTGCCCATTTTGTATCCAAGGTCCGTGAAGGTGCTTTCTGTGAGCTGCCCAGGGCGAGGTCCAGTGAGGCAGAGGGAGCGGGAGATGCTGCAGGGATCTGCCCGTGCCAGCCCAAGGCGGCAGACGAACAGGTCTCTGCCTTCCAGCCCTGGGTTCGGGCTGGGCACTGTGGGCGAGTGAGTGTGTGTGTATGTGATGGTGAGTGTGAGTGTAGACCCGCCTCCAGGAAACTCTCGGAGGTCAAGAAAATCCCCCTCAGCTTCCAATTTTAACGCTTTCATTCTATGAAATGAAAAAGTAAAAAGGGCTGCGTAATACATGTTATATTTTAAATGTTTACATTTAACAAATGAATGCTTTTAACACACACAAACACAATGCAATATAATTGTGCTGTTCACAAGATAATTACAGGATTTATAGAAAATATTAATTCACGGTGCACTGTGGGAGGTGTGGTCGGTAATGAGACACAAGTTTAATGAGAGGCTCCGTGCTTCTCTCCCGTCTCGCACCTTTGTCACCAGGAGTTGCATCCTCATCGGGGCATCCCCGTGGCTCATAAGGCCCTGCGTCATCTGGCTCCCTCCTCCCAGCCCCCTCTGACTTCTTCCCTGCTCTGTGAACCACAGCAGACACAGTCTCACTCCAGCGCACGTGCCAGTGCCTTCCCTCCACTGGGCCACTCCTCCCTCGGCTAGCCTCCTGACTCCTCCCCCGCACCTCCTGGCCCCTGTTCGGAGGTCCCTTCTCAGGACATCTTTCCATACCATCCTGTTTACAATGGCAAACCATTCCCTCATTCCCTGTTTTCCTTCTTATCTTTATTTTTCTTTCTCCCTAGAAGAAATGTTCAACATCTCATATACCACACACACACACGCACACACACGCACACACACCATATCGGTTTATTTGAGGCATTCCCAGGACTTCTAACAGCTGGAACATAGTAGCTGCTTAATAAACACTTTATTAAGTAGCTGCTGGAGGAAAGGGTGAATCACGGGCTATGTCCAAGTCCCTGTCCCATGGCTTCTATGGGAGGCCCACTGCAGCTCTTGGGCCTGGCTCCCCTGCGTTGTTGGATGAAGCTCCTCCATCTCACGGGGGCTGGATGTTTGGACCCCAAGGGGTCTCCTGGTGCTGCCATTCTCAGAGGCGCTGATTTAAACCAGCTGGATGCTGTCGTTCCTCCCTGCCCCCCGGCACTGGGTCTCAGGCTATTCTCCCCTTGGATTCTGGGGCCCTCATCCTGGTGGGGCCCTGATGAGTCATCCTCCCAGGATCATTGAGTAGTGGGGAGACCTCACAGTTACTGTGTGTGGAGCCTGAGTCTCATTCCCTTCCTATGGAATGAGGAATTGGAGGTAGAGCCAAGGGAGGGATTTTTTCTGATGGCTCACTTTATGAATTCCCTGCAGACCTCTCCTTCTCCCCCTTTGTTCATCCTGGAGATTAAGAATTCACGTGCACACCACCCAGGTTCTCCTTGCCAGGCACTTACTCATGCTGCGGCCTCTACCTGGAGAGTCTTTCCCCTTATTGCCTTTATAGGTCTTACCTCTGCTGCTTTGTCCTTCCTGGGAAGCCTGTCCTGAGGCCCTGGGCCAGGTCTCGTGCCTCCTCTCGGCTCCTGAAGCTACTTTACTTTCCTCTGGCAAAGCACCAAGGGAAGGTGGGGGTGGCAGGCTGGGTGCACCAGAACCACTTCTGCCCTTTACCAATCTGCTCGCCTCACTAGGCTGTCAACACCTCGAGAGCAGGGACAAGTTTGTTTTTTAAATCTCATCATTGATTTACTAGTTCATTCACAGATATTTATTGAGCACCTATTCTGTGTTCTGGGATCAATTTTGAGCTCTGGAGACACAGCAGTGAAGAGAACTGACTAGGGCCCTCCCTAACTGGTGTGGCTCAGATGGTTGGGCGTTGTCCTGCAAAGTAAAAGGTCACCGGTTCGATTCCTGGCCAGGGCACATACCTGCTTGGAGGTTTGGTCCCTGGTTGGGGTGCATAAGAGAGGCAACTGATTGATGTGTCTCTCTCACATTGATGCTTTTCTCCCTTTCTCTCTCCTTCCCCTCCCCTCTCTCTAAAACTAACTAAATAAAATATTCTAAAACAACCCAGACTAGGTCCCTGTTCTCACGAAGCCCACAGTCGCGGTGGGAGATTGACACTTGAGTATGTTAGGCTACATGGACAGTGATGGGCACCATGGGAGGGACCCAGACGGAAGGTTACAGGAGCTCCCAGTGCCAATATAGGGTCTTGCAAAGAGTCGGCACCAAAACCACATTGGCATAAGCTGAAAGGCCCCAAGGCTAACTGCTGTTATGAGGCAGGACCGACTCCCTCACGGCCCTCTCCTGCACAGCAAGAAGCTCTTCTGGTCACCTTCTCAGCCACTCAGTCTTAGGGAAACTCCTTCACCTCTCTGGGCTTCAGCCTCATCTGTAAATGGTATGAAGTATTTCCTGAACTTAGTATTACCAAGGGTTAGATACGCTAAAGTCCTAAAAAGGGCTGAGCATAGAGGCTCAGATATAGTCCGTGTTCAATAAATGGAAGGGAGAAGTTAAGGATGAAGAGGATGGGGAGGCCAGGAACATTGGAAAAGTTGGTTTGGCTCCCTCTGCTCTTGGGCATCTGGGCACTGCTCAGCTGGGGTGAGCAGTTTTGGAAATAGCCACGAGGTGGCGCACCAATCCCAGTTATTAAGGAGTCAGCATTTCTTAGCTGTTGAAACTTTAGCAGCCAGAAAGGCAGTTAGACTCCCTTGACTCAGGATGGGTTGGGGCTGGAGTGGGGACTTGCAGCTACTTGAAATCCAGCCTTTTCCAGTCTCTCTCTCCCTTTGTTTTTTCTCTTGGAGTTTCACCGTTGGTTTTCAGGTACCCCTGCCTTTCCCTTCTGCCCCAGCATTTGTGCCCAAGGCTCCTGCTAAGTAAGTCCTGCTTCTTGTCCACCCTATGAGGCGCACCTCAGCCCCTCAAGCCACCCCCTTCCGTTCTCCTTCATTAACAAGGCAGGGAGAATTAACCGAACACTGTCTGTGGGCCTGGCAGGGTGGGGAGCCAGAGGAAATGACTCTGTTCCGGTGTGTAGTATCCTGGGGGTGTGCTGAGAGCAGGGCTAGAAAGGATTTAAAGAGGGGAAATCAAAGACATGCAGCAGTTACTTAAGATCCCCTTCCCATCTGCATGCTCAACACATAGGAAATATTATCCTCGCTCCGCAGATGTGGCAGCTGAGGCTCAGAAGTGTTCTGTCCTGGAGGTGGGAAGAGGTGGAAGTGGGCAAAAGGGCATGGGGAGAGACTTGATGGTGGGCTGTGAGCACACGACACAGTAGGCAGGTGATGTTTTGTTGAGCCGTACCCTGGAAACCTGCATGGTTTCATTAACCAATGTCACTCCAATAGACTCAGTAAAATAAACATAAAGTAAAAAAAAGAAGTGTTATGTCCCATGTATATCTGGCTTCCTGTTTACCAGGCTCCTTCCTCAGCTGTGAAGTGTGGTCCAAACTAACTACATTCATCCATTCATTCAAAAGCATTGACCGAGCTCTGCAGGTCCAGTGAGAGTCAGACCTGACCCCGCCTTCAGGAGCCAGAAGTCTGGAGGAAGAGGCTGTAGGGCAGCGTGTCCTTGAAGTCTGTGCTGGGCACGGTGGCGACCCAGAGGATGCTGTTGCTGGTGCCTCCTGAACAGGTGAGGGGCAGAAAGGGAAGGAAGGTGTGAGAGAATGTAGCTTCCTTGGGGGCCAAGGATCTGCTCGAGTGTAATTTTTAAAAAGGTAAAATCTTGGCCCTGGCCGGGCATCCCAGTTGGTTAGAGCGTTGTCCCGGTACGCCAACATTGCCTGGGTGGTCCCCGGTCGGAGCACAGACAAGGATCGCCCAGTGGATGCAGAGGAAAGTGGAACAACAGATTGATGCCTCTCTCTCTCTCTCTCAAATCAATTCTTTTAAAAAGGTAAAATTTTGACCCTCATACAAATAAAAAAAGTAAACACACGTCAAAGATTTTCCTCAGCTCGTTTACTGACAAGGAATCAGCAAGTTGTTGAAAATGGTTTGAATGAGACTTTGGCTTCAGGTGTTAACATTCTCTACTGGACAGGATCCCTTGGCACCGTTAGGGACAGGAATCGCTCGCATTGTTTTCTGTTGTGAACAAGTTACCTCTGTTCCTATGGAGCTACAAAGTCAGTCAAAGGTGATCAGTCTCACTCACCCTTAAACAATCAAGTCGTCTTCAGAGGACACTCAGCCGACACCCAGCCCTCCTCTGAAAGGAAACACACGAATCTCTTTTGCCTTTTCCAAGGCTTTGCTATGTTTTCTTGACTGGTCCTCCGAATAAGTCAGTTAAAAGCTGTTCCTGGAGAGAGACTGGTCCCCATTCTGTCATCTCCTCTGCCATCCAGGTGACAGACTCCCAGCTCTAGTAGGAGCTGGCCAGAGTCCGTGCCCGCCAGCAGGTGGCGCTGAGGCAAATCTCAGCAGCACCACAAGGGGTTCCCGGGCTGGGGGCTGAAGGGCAGGTCCCAGTTTTCCACCATTGTTGACCTCTAGGAGTCAGATTTTATGATTTCAGAATTTCATAGTGCCATTTCCCCAAGTGATTTCAGCTAGAACCGTGAATTCCGTCATTCACCTATTCAGTCACTTTTTCATTCGACAAACGTGGCCAGGCACACAAATCATGTTCCTGAGGGTCTCTAGACAGATTTATGAGCGCCAAAAAATCAGTCCTTGTCTTTGCTTGCCTGGCTCTGCTGCCAGGACTCAGAGCCGCCTCTCTGAGGCTGAGCTCTGAAATCTCAGGGTCTCACTTCACCCCAAGCCTGACCTGCCTACCAGTGTGTCGGCTCCCTTTGGAAAATTCACCTCATCAGAGGCTGAACAAAGGCATTACTTCTATAATCTCCTTATTATTCCCACGTCGCAGGTGGGAAAGCAGACTCCTCCTCTTCTGCGGTGGTGTGTGGGTGGGAAGGCCGAGCCCCCACCCCCCTTGGCTGTACCCTGACAATGCTGAGGCCGAGGATGGCTGAGGCATGGCCCCTGCACCTCGCCATTTCTCTGGCCTTCCTATAAGCTCACACTCACAGAGGGCTGGAGCATAAAGCACCTCCCCAGCTCTTCCCAGAAAGTCCCCAGAATGTACTGGGAATAACTGCAAACTCAGTCCCACCCCAGCTCGGCAGACAAGGTTCTCTGGAGTGACCCCATTCCCTCTTCAGCTAGGCCCCCGCTCCGGGACGGGGGGAGCTGGCCCAGGGATGGAGACGGGAGGGCAAGTCCTGAAAGCCATTGTGGTGGTAAGATCTGGGCTGGGACACAAGTGGCCGTGGGGGCTGTGGTGTGGGGCCACCCAAGGGTGCATTTGTCCCACTGGGGACTGGGCAGAGATCCCCAGGAGTGCCCTACCCCAGCTCCTTGGCCCCTCCCGGTGTGCTGAGCCCAGGACTGTGGAAGAAAACCTCGCTCCCTTCCTGGCAGGTGGGGAGTGAGATTGGGCGAGAGCCCGTGTCCCTCACTACACAATGACTGTGACATCAGGAGGACGGAGGTCACCAGAGGACGGTGCAAGGGCCAAGCCCATCAGCATTTTCCAGAAAGAGGAATCTTTGAGAGAAAAGAGTGGGACTACTTGGGAAGTGGATCCTGGGGGTAAAGGTCTCTGAGCACCGTGGGTCTGCAAGCAGTGAGAGGTGCTGGGGGTGAAGCAGACGTAGTGGGGCGAAGAGCACGTGGAAAATTAGAAGGCAGAAAAGGGAAGAAGAATCATAAACCCTCAGAAGCCTACCTTTCCCTGAGGGAAATGGCAAGTCCAGACAGGAGAAGTCCCCTGCTATTAGCACAAGCCGGAGTCTCCCTTTGCTTCCCGGGAAGCATGCATCCTGACTCAGCAGTCCGGGGCAGCTTGTACCAATGGCCTGGGTTTCGTTGCTCTAACAAATTGGGACACCCCTGAGTCAGTCCTAGGACGGGCCCCTGGGTGTTTTGTGAAGGTGATACTTTGCTTCCTCAGGTATGCTCTGAGAAACTGCTGAAACTGCTGGATTGGGGAAGGCTGTGCAGCTGGGAACTGGGTGTCCTCTGTGGCCTAGACCAGCTTTTCTGGTTTGTTTGTGGGTTTTGTTTTGTTTTTTCCTTTACTGGGAAAATCTAATCAAGATGGCTTCCTTCAGATTGGTAGATCCAAAGACTCTGGGATCCTTGGAATGACCTCAGGAGAAGAAGAGGCCTCTAGGATGGGCACTCAGAAATCCTGGTATTTTGAATATCAGAGGGGTTGTCAATTTATTTTGGCCTGCAGGACGATGAAGCAGGACGTACCCTAAGAGGACACGGAAGTTGGCAGCTGTTTCCAAGGGTTTGGGATTCTTCCCTCAGCTGGCAGAGGAGCCCCCTCCTCTTATTGCCTGGATGGGGGAGCTGGGGGCGTCTGCATGGCTGTCGTTGGGGCCCTTGATCCCTTTGAGGCAAGTCTCAGCCACCAAGTTTTATCCTTTGTGATCGGAGTCACCCTTTGCGACTTCTTTCTGGACAGACATTCCAAGTCCAGGACATGCTCATCCTCAGTGCTGCTAGTTATCTGTTGCTAGGCCACTGACCGCCTCCGGACTTGGCCATGATAAACCTTCATTCTCTCACACAGCTTCTGTGGATCGGAATCTGGGAGCAGGTGGCTAGTGGTTCTGACTCAGGGTTTCCCGGGAAGATGTGGTCAAGATGTCAGTCAGGACTGCAGTCCCTGCTCCCACGGTGGCTCACTCACGTGGCGGGCAAGTGGGTGCTGGTGGCTGGCAGGCGGCCTCAGTCCTCGCCTCATGGGCCTCTCCATAGGGCTGCCTGTGTAGGCTCACCACGTGGCGCTGGCTTCCCCACCCAGGAGAGTGAGGCCGAAGCCACGTCGTTAATGACATAGCCTTGAAAATCACCTGCCATCTCCCCTGCCATATCCCACTGGTCCCCCAGGGCAGCCCTATTTAAAGTGGGAGGGGCCTATACAAGGACCCGATCCACAGGAGGTGGGGACTGCTAGGGACAGTGGAGATTGGCTCTCACATCAGCCCTCAGGTAAATCTTCAGAAATATGAACCTCAATCACTGAGATTTCTTGCCTCCCAGAACTATTTAAGTCAGCTGAAGCCTCTCTTCCAGGCCGTGGTGGGCTGCCTCTGAAGAGGCATGGAGATAACGCCCACCCGCGCAGGCCCTGCTAACCTCCCCTCAGCAGCTCTCCTCCCGTTTTGCTCCTCGCTGTTCCCCCAGTTTCTGCATGTGGGCAGCTAGGACCAGAGGCAGCATGAAGTGCGTCCCAGCCTGACATAGCTCTTCCAACAGCACCTTCAGCATTCGGCTAGATGCGCCCATTTCTTAGGGACAGCCCAGTCTGGGATCATAGGGAGACCCTCAGACCCACTGACTTTGACCCCACCTCATTCTGCCAGCCTGGAGCAGCTGAGGTACTTTTGGAAGCCAGGGACTAAAACGGACTCAGCCAGAAGTGGAACATAGGGGAAGGTTGCCCTGACCCCTCCCTCCCTCCCTCCCTCCCTCCCTTCCTCCCTTCCTTCCTTTTTTTTTTTTTTTTGCTGCAAAAACTTAATTGTTTCCATTTGGCCCAATGCATGGGAGAGGGTTCCAGGGTGGTTAAAAGGGTATCTAGTGGTTTCGGGGAGAGGCTCAGGCAAAAGCCAGATGCCAGGGAACTGCAGAGGGGCCCCTAAAAGGCCTCTGGGCTCCAAAGGCATCCTAGTCATGCTTGAGGGTGAGCCTTTTGAACAGATACTCACCCATCCCTGCCCGGGGGCCGCCCAGCCGGTGGATGTCAGAGTCAGGTGGTCGTGCATCTTCTTGATGAGTTTCACCTCCTCACCCAGGAAATGGTTCTCCAGAAAGTCACAGGGATGCGGGTCTGTGCGGACAGAACTCAGGGCATATGGATCCAAACCGGCCTGGGTCAGGTTCTTCTCTGAGGCCAAGGTGGCTTCCATGGCGCCCTCGTGCTTCTGCTCAGCCAACTCGCAGAAGAAGTGGCCCACGCCCCGCAGAGCCACATCGTCACGGTGCAGATAGGAGCCCAGAGAGAGGTGGGTGCAGGAGGCCTGCAGAGGCAGGATGGCCAGGTGGTTGATGCACGCCTCCACCTCGTTGGAGTAATTCTGAAGAATGTGGGAGTTCATGGTTGCTGGCAATGAAGAATTAGGGTCAAAAACAGTGTTGGCTGGTCTCGGAGGCTGCAATGGCTGAGGCGGTTCCAAAGGTGGTGACTAGAAAAGAGTCTGGAGGGTAGTCAGAAAGAAGCAGCGTCCCTAGGTCTGTTCCGTCCAAACCCTGTTGGAGCAGGAGACAGATCCCAGGACCGCCAAGGGCACTGTGAGTCCTGACCACCCCTTGATCTTGCCCCAGCACTCTCCTGAGACCCTCGTGCCCTCTCCTGGCAGGAGCACAGCCCCCTGGGCCATGCACATTGGTTCTGACCCTCCTCCTGGTCCGCCTTTTTCTTTTGTTCCTGCCTTGACGTTCCTTCTGTTGTGATTCTCTCCCGATACTCCTTTTAAATGTTATCATTTAAAACCCTTTTGTATTTACATAAACAACCTGAAACAATTCTTTGAAGCTAGGTGATAGCCAAATAAGGGAATGAATTTTAATTTTTCCTGTTCCTAGGGGGTAATTAGTCCCTGTGCAGATGGTCCTAATGAGCATTGCACTAGGATTTCTAATTATCCTTAATGAGCTTCCAAAATTCATGGGGCATGAGAGGGTGAGGTTGATTGTTACCCAAATGACTCAGTGAATCAAGCCTCCTGGTATCTATATCCTTCCATGTTGATTCTTGGCTTGGCCATGTGACTTACTTTGGCCAATAAAGTATCAGCAATCATGACACAAACAAAGATTGAATGAGTGCTGTCCTTTGGGACTTTCTCTTGAAACTCCAATGGAACCACTATGTGAGAAAACCTGGCTCGGACTATCTTCCTGGAGGATGTAATACCACTTGGAGAGGGAGGTCTAGCGATCCCACTGTCCCAGATGAATCCAGCCCTCAGCTGGGTTCATTCCTCCAAGTGAATGCAGCTGCACAAACAATCCCTGGAAAAGCCAGCATAAGAAGGCAATCAACCCACCAAATCATGAGAAATAACAAATCATTGTTTTCAGTCCTAAGTTTTGGGTGTTTTGTTATGCAGCAATAGCTAACTGATACATAGGGTCACAGTACTAACCACAGAACAGTATTTCGGTGCCACTCTTTCCACTTGATACTCTGTAACCTCAGAGATCTGCAGTAGGGGAGCGATCCAAAAATGCAGTGATTTAAACAAGATCGTTTCTTTTTCGTATATGTAAGAGGTGAGAAGCAGGTGGCTCAGGGCTGGTGGATCTGCTCTGCTCACCCACAAAATGGCTCTTCCAACTCTGGATCCAAGGTGACTGCTCCAGCTCTTGCTATCTTCCCCCCAGCAAAGAGAGAGAAGAGTGAGGGGAGGGCCTGCCCAGTCCTTTCAGGGGCCAAACCTGGATGTAGCCTACACATCACTTCCATTCACATTCCTTTGGCTCAAACTTGGGCATACGGCTTCACCTACTTACAAAGGACATATAGTTTCTAGCTAGGCAGCATGTGCCCAGCTAAACTATGGCAGTTCTTTTTATTAAAGAAAGAAAGAGAAACTAAATATTTGAGATTAACCAGCAATCAATGCCAGTTTGTCTCCTTGGTGAGTATTCCCATCAATAAGTATGAGTGTTCCCATGTACTAGATGGTTTTCTTTATCCTCATAAATCAATACAGGTCATCAAGCAAATGTACCAGTTGGTTGGGATGCTTTAGGTTGCAAGTAACAACACTCAACTAAAAGTTGCCTAAAGAGTTGGGGGTTTTATTGTATTCATACTTGATCTTAGTCAAAAGGCTGAGAAGTGATTATTATTATCTTCAGAGGTCTTGAGGTAGAATGTTTTTGAATCAATACTCCTTTCTGTCTTTCCATCTTCCATGTCAAGGGTCCCTACTTCATGGCTGAAAGATGGCTTTGTTCTCTAGGAATACAGCATCATATCCATAGAGAACAAAAGAATAACAGCTACCATGTATCGGGTGCTCACAGTGTGGCAGAACTCTCTAAACATTTTAGGCGTATTCACTCATTTGATCTTCACAACAACCCTATGAGGAAAGCACTGTTATTTTCATTTTGCAGAGGAGGAACAGGAGGCAGAAAGTTCAAGAAACTTGTTCAAGATCACACAGATAATCAGAGGCAGGCTCATGTCTTTAACCCTGATTCTGAAGCCTCCACTTTTAACAGCTCAGCTGCTCTGCCACAGACAGTATCTCAGGAAAGAAAGCTGGGAAAGGGCTTGCCCTAAATCCCCTTTCTCCTTTTATTAGAGAGGAAAGTCCTTCCCAAAAGCCCCCAAGGGGAACTTTCCCTTCTGTTTCATTGGCCAGAACAGAGTCACATGCCTACCCCAACCCAATCACAGCAGAGGGGCGTGGAAACACATATAATTATCTTTGACCAATCATAGTGCCCCCCTACCTCCACCCTCTCACCTGAACAAAACAGACTTCTGTGGCAAGAAAGCAGGGGCATCCAGCCTGATGGCGATGGCAAAACCCAGGCTTAGCTGCAGGTTTCCAGCTCACGGGGACTGAAATAAGGTTAGCTTAGACCCCACCCCTCACCGTCCCCCAGACCTCTGCAATTTCTCAGGTTTACAATCCTGGGGCTCTGGTTTCCTGCTTCTGCTGAATTGTGGCAGCTGTTCCCTTTATTTCCAGCCTGGAGTTGACTCAGGTGTAGGATGCAGCCCATTTCTTCTCCCAAGAAACCATGAATAGCAGGCTGCTCTGTGAGCAGAATTTCACTGAAGATGTGTGGGTCTCTGGGAGTGATAGCGCTGCTCAGAACACAACTACTAGTGGCACTGGGACAGCCCTGTGCTGTGGCCACCAGGTCCTCATGCATCCTTCACCCCACCCCTTCCCTGCTGCCCTGGCTGAGCTGCCTGCTCCAGCTGTTGGCTCAGTTTCCACCTTCCCTCCTTCCTTCAGGGCCTTCCCGTGCTCGCTCTTGACTCCAGCAACAGTGAGAGCATTTTGGCCCTTCCCAGCCCCTCCTCTGAAACTCCCAACCAGGCTGCCTTTGCTGGGCCAAACCCAACGAGGGGCCTTGGAACTGAAGGGCCTTTTATTTAACAATGCAGAGTCTCCTCTCCCGAGAAGGAAGCATTCTAAATACCAGCACCTCCCTCCGGACTCCTCCAGGTGCATTAGAAATGGAGATTTCAGAATGCTCGGACATCCAAGGGAGTCCCCTCTCCCCCTGTCACTGGGCCTCCCTGAGCACCCTCAGTGAAGGACATGGTCGCTTTCCCAGGATCTGAGGAGATGAAATTAAACTCCTTTAAAAGATACTGTCTTCCTGGAGTTTTCTAAACCCCTGTCCCCCAAACTGGTGCCTCTGGATGTCTTCTGGGGGTTACCCCGCCTGGCCAGCAGGTTCTCTGCCTCTGAGGCTCAAAACCCTCAGTGATTCCTCTAAGGAGCCTGGGAAGGAGGGGTGTGTAGGGGGAGGCAAGGAGGGGAAGGGAGGGCGGTGGCTGGGCCCTGTGTGGAGCTAAGGGCTGTGAGAACGTGAGAACCTTCTCAGTGTCAGGGCGGCCTTGGGGCTTTTAAGAACAGGAATGTCTCTTGTGCTACTTTCCATTGTGTGCTGTGTCTTTAGCAAAAGTCCCGCTCACACGGTTGCTCTGGAAGCAGGGGGAAATATTCTCCCTCCCTTGTCCCTCATTTGGTTCAATTCCAGGTCAGAAACAAAGGCAACAGCTGCAAAAAATCAGCAGAAGCAGGACAGTGGCCATGAGAACATAGCCCGAGAACTGGCAGAAATCTCTAGGAGGTCTTCACATGGTCACGGTCGTGCTGGGGTTTGCACGCACCCATCTCAATCTCCAGGGCCAGTCGGATACTGGCTTACATCTTGGGTGCAGATATTGATCCCTCTTCCCTGCCAAGATTCTCCAAGTGTGGTTCCTAGCCATCTGCATCAGCAGCATCTGGAAACTTGTGAGAATGCAAATTCTTGACTCAGCCGCAGACCTACCTAATCTAGCCCTCGGGGGTGGGGCCCACATATCTATCTGTGTTTCAACAAACTCTCCAGGTGATTCTGATGCACCTGGAGTTTGAGAAGCAGTGGTCAAAGCTGACAGAAGATAGATTTGTTCGGGCGTTGTATAACTAGGGCGTTCCATTTATTTCCTCTCTGCTTGTTATTTGTTTAGGAGCAGGGTGGGATTCTGTTCTGGTCAGTGAGACAGGGGTTTCTGGAAAGACCTGCCATCCCCACCCCCTCATAAAACAAAGAAGGCATCCGAGGAGAAGTCTTGCCCTGTCGTTTTGCCTTTGGACACTGTCAGACATCCTGAAGCAGAGGGGCTGCAAGTAGGGGCTCACAGGCAGGCTGCTGGGGCGTGCGTCTTAGGAGAAGAGGGCAAAGGGAGTAATGGGTCAGAATGATGATACTAAGAGCTACTAATGTGCCTGAAGGGCTTTCCACATGCCAGGTGCCGCTCTGAGCACTTCACTTAGCATATTTGCCCTCCTTAGACAGGGAACCTGGCCCTGAGCGGGTCTGCCTAGGGCCAGCTGGTGCTGCATGGATTCTTGATTTAGTGCAGGAAAGATTTCGTAATATGGATCCAGGTGACTTTGAGGGTATGGTTATTAAAGCTGGGGACATCGAAACAAAGAAGGGCTCAGCATGGGAGAAGCAACAGGAGACACTTGGGCGGTGCTGCTTGGGTTCTCGAGGAATGTTGTAGGAAAGAAAGAAGCAGAGGCAGGGCTGCTCTGGCTCACTGGGAAGTCAGAAAAAAGGGGGCCTTGCAGACAGGGTTAGGGAGTCAGCTGGGGATGGGCTGCCACTGCCCATTGCTTCTCTGGTTGCCAGCCTCGTGGGGACCCTTAGAATTTATAGGATACACACCTGTGGGGAAACAGAGGGGAGGGAAGGCACAGGTGCTGGGTTCTTCGTCTTGAGGGCTTGTAGCTCCTGCTGGCAGTAATCTTAGGGGAGGTCTCAGGGGAGGGTTTCGGCAGACTGTTCATCAGTTTTCCAGGTGTGCCCTTTCAGGGTCAAGGTCTCTCCTGATTGGCCAGCACCA